AAATGCCAATTAAAAAGACAGACAAAGGATGTGCTACTTCCATTAAAGCAGCCTGGATGGACCCAGCACCTATTTATTCACTGAGCTTCCCCCAGCCATCGACAGCAGCCCCTAAAACCAGCTGGAGACCAGCTGAATCTGAGTTTGGAAGGCAATGGCCTAGTTCACCCCTTCTGGTTTACAGGGAGCAGCCCAGAGAAGCTAGGTGACTTGCTTCACAATGACTGGTTGATCTAAAACAAACTAAAACACAGAGTATATTCCATATATCCTTTGTACACTCAGGGACTTTTCTCATTAGATCATGATGCCTCTAAATACAGTAAATTCTGGACACAGTAGGCACACACAAATTCCTCATGAATTTGTCAGCTTCTGTGCTATATGCTACATATGAGGGGCTTAAAAAAACCTGTGGAAACACACAATAGTCCTCTGGTTCCATGAGGCTTCCTCCCACTATCATGACCCCAGTGCTGCACTGCAGGTTAGACAGGAGTGTGCACACAGGTACAGATAAGAGATAAGAGCTCACGACACACAGAATCCAGGAACAGGAATGGGAGTAGCAATACCAGGAGGGTAGTGGGAAGGTAGAGAGAGGAGGGGAGGAAAGAGAACCCAATTGCAATAATCGACACATAATTACCCCACCCCCACCAGGGGGACAAACAACAGAAACCGTGGGGGAAGGGAGACAGCGGTCGGTGAAAGATATGAAAATAATAATTTATCATTTATCAAGGGGTCATGTCAGTGGGAGCGGGGGAGGGACGGGGGAAAAAGTGGAGCTGATACCAAGGACTCAAATAGAAAGTAAATGTTTAGAAAATAATGATGGCAACACATGTACAAATATGCTTGATACAACTGATGTATGGATTTTTATAAGAGCTGTAAGAGCCCCCAATAAAATGTTTTAGTTAAAAAAAAAGTTTGTGGAAATGAAAAAATAATGGAATTTTGCCACAAACTTATTAGAGGCCCCTTGTAAATGTCTGTGTTTGAAGATGAAATCATGGAATAATCTTATTTATTATAAAGCAGCACCCAGGGCGGGTCTACAAAGAAGGACAATACGGACTCTTAAGACGGCATGTGTTTCCACTAGGGTGTGATCCAGATCCTCCTCAGATCTCTCTGCTCTTGGAAAACTGCCAACAGAACCCTATGCAATCTCTCCTACACTAGGTAGACACGAGAAAAGTGGTCAGATTTACCAATGGACAAGAAAAAAATGGGGAGCTGTAGTCTGTACAAGGGGGTGAAGAAGAACACAGAAGTGCTTTTGACAGTATATGGGTAAGGGAGGAAAGTTATTTGAAAGAGTCACAGCTAAAGTATTAGAAAATAAATGTACTAAAAGAGAAAAGTTCAAAATCTACAAGTGAGACACAAAAGTGAATGTCAGATCAAGTGAATTCAATTTCATACCATTATTCTAATTCTACAAGCAAGATGGAAGAACCTCTGCACCGAGCACACAAACCGGAACATTACCTAGCCTATCGGAAAGACTCTTCTCCAACGTCTCCCACGAAGATGTCTGGGACCCTAATGTGGCTTGCAAATTCTCTATCTGGCGAAGTAACGGTCTTGTTGTTGATGAAACATTCTGACTCAGTTCTTGGTTTCGATTCTCTGCTTCCTGGAGTCTCTGAATCATGAAATTCTTAAGTTATTACCACAGACAGCAATAAAAACACTAGCAAATCTAAGCTTCATGAGAGATTTCTAGAAAGAAAAAATATTTTCCCTGAGACTTATTTTTTTAACTTATTTTCTAACTGGTCAATCCTTAAAGTTAAGAGTTCAGGTTCATAACAGAAGATTTAAATAAATGCTTCTTTATAGACCTTTTATAAAATAAAGATAGCCTTTACCTAAAGGGAATGAATAAATCCAAATATCCTAGTAGACAACTCACCCAAGTATTTTTACCTATCTATAACCACAGAAAGATCAATCTGAGACGTAATTCCTTCTCCTATATAGGATCGATGACTGAAAATTAGTAAAATAAAACTGGGCACCAATTACTTGCCCACAGTAATCAAAGAATAACAATAAAAAATAAGACAAATCTACAGATTAAGAAATAATACTGAGTATGAACAATAAATCTTTCATGATGAAATTACTTCATATTAAAAAACCTATAAACTGTTTTTGCATAATATGAATTACCCACTATGATTTTATTCTTATAAGCCATACGAATACAGCAAATGAAAGGTATATTAGTTATCTTCTCAATTCTAGGAATATTACCACTAGGAGTGATTTTTTACTTGTTGGAGAAAACATAAAGCATCCTTGGATATTCTGACTGTGACATACCTGCTGGAGTTCACTGATCTCGTGACGTAAGTAATCCTCTTTCCTGGCGGCTGCTTGCTCGGCTCGCTGCAGTGCCAGCCTGAGGTCCCCCACCTGTCGGAAGAGAAACACACACCATCAACAACATTATCCAAGGGTTTGTGCAACAACTCACTTGTTTTATGTCATTTACTGTTCTGCGTAACACTTACACTATTCAGTATGCTTTTACATGATTATCACACAGCCTTTACATCCAATTCCAAAAACAGATGCAAATGCAACACCTACTCAGGAAAGCACTCTGCCAGGCAGAAAGGAGTAGATAAATATGCACAGTCACTGCCTTTTCATCCAAGAGGAAAGACAATGTACTCAGGAATGCTTGAAACGCAAGGGAGGATGTGACAGGAGCAAAAGCCAAACCTACTGCCATCGAGCCAATCCTGACTCAGAGACCCTACACAGGATCTTCACAGGAGCAGATAGCTTGAATTTCCTCTCTCAGAGCAGCTGATGGGTTTGAAGTGCTGACCTAAGCTATAAAAACCAAGTATTGTACCCACTACACAGACTGTAAACTGCCACTGCATTTTTGGAAAAGATTATGGTAACATGTTTGAAGAACAGGGCTTTTAACAGGTTTAGTCACGACCAATGCAGTGAAAATGGAACTGATTTGAACTGGTAAACTGTGGGTATACCAAGATAATAACCAGGCTAGGAAAACAATCAGTCAAAGACCTGGAATGGGAGGCTAGGAAGAGGCTTAGTGAGCCCCTTCAGGAGCCTGAAATAGGAGATTGGATTATTTCCAGGAATATGGTGCACAAAATGCAGTCAAAGCAGTGCAGCTGGCCACCACCTGGGAGCATGGCACTGCTGATTTGACTCTGCTGGTCAAGAAATTGTTTGCTTGGTAACACATATACTGCACTTGCTTAACACATATACTGCACTAACACATATACTGCACTTGTTATACATGGTAAAGAAGCAGGGGGGGAAAAATGAACATCATAAGTTATTAAGGAAATGCAAATCAAAACTACAATAAGACACCACTTTACACCTACTAGGATGGTTATGCTCATTCACAAAAATCAAAAAGGCAGTAAGTACTGGAGAAAATGAGTTGGGACCCTCAAGCACTGGTGATCGGGATGTAAAATGATACAAGTACTGTGGGAAAGAGTTGGCAATTTCTCAACGCATGAAACATCAAATTACTCTACAGCCTAGCTATTCCATTTGTAGGTATATACAAAAGGACTAGAAACATCTGTTCAAACACAAACATACATACATGTTCACAGCAGCATTCATAACAGCCAAAACATGGAAACAACCCAGACATCCCGCAACTAATGATAAATAAAATGTACTACATCCATAAAATATTATTCAGCCATGGAAAGGGATGAACTATCAATACATTCTAGAACGTGGATGAACCATGAAAACATTATGCAAAGTAGAAATAGCCAGATACAAAAGACCACATACTGCATGATTCTATTTATGTGAAATGTCCAAAACCGGCAAATTCATAGGAACAGAAGGCGGATCAGTGATTGATTGTCAAAGGCGGGGGAACTGTTAACACATAAAAGTCTTCTTCTGGGGACTGAAGATGTTCGCAACGGAGACAGTGGCTACGGTTGCACAACATTTTGAATCTGCTAAAACCACAACACTGTACACTTTTGAATGGCTAAAACAATGACTTTTATATAAGTTGTCATCTCAATTTTAAAATGTCTTAATACAAGGCATTAGAAAAGAAAAACATCCCCTAAAATCCAAAAACATATCTAAAATACATATTAAGTGGGGTGATATAACCCACACGAAGAAAAGTACTCTTTCAAGGGACCTGCAGAACACAAATTAGACCTGCACATACAAATGTAAGATTAAGCAGCAGAGAAATTTCAAACTTTCCTCAGTAGTTTTTATTTTAGTAATAACATTATTCCTACCATGAAGTAATTTTAGTTAAAATAAAGTGAATAAGTAACCATGTAAATGTTAGGAAACGAGATCTTTTTTGTTAAAACATTACTTGCAGTGTGAGATTAAAAAAAAAGAGGCAGATATCTCAAAAATTATATAAAAATTAAAACCTTGTAATGTTAAATTGAAGTGGACAAAGCAATATAATCTCATGATACTTAATTATTCATAAAAGTATATATTCTCTAGCCCCATCCACTATGAAAACCTAGAAGCAATAAAAACCCACTAAAACCGAATGTACAAATGTGCTTGACACAATGGATGGATGTATGGATTGTGATAAAGAGTTGTATGAGCCCCCATCAAATGATTTAAAAAAAAAACAACCCACTAGTAAAAAGTATTCCTAGTAACCAAATTATGGTCACTAAGAACTTTTGCCCAATAAAAGAGGCTGAGTTACTTGGAGAAACAGTTTCTAGTTTAGGTTAAGAAATGTGGAATACGAGGGCATACCCCCCAAAACTGGAAATGCGCTGGGTGAAGCAGAGCTTTCATAGTATGAATTTTTCCTGCTAGGTGAGCATCAAGTAACTCACTCTGAGTTAGTGCACCCAGTGGTGTAGCCTGGGAAGGTTCTCTCTGGTCACAATGAATGTTTTCATAAAAGCAGTTTCACTCTAACCTTGTTTGTGTGTATGTGACGGCTGATTTAAGAGAAGAGTGTGAGGCTGTGGAATTCTGTTTCCTGCTGTGGGCGGGGGATGCCGCAGAAACCATTGTGATGTTGAACACAGCATACAAGGACAGCTATGGGAGAAACGCAAGTGTACAAGTGTACAACATTTCAAAAAGGTAAAATGCTGATTGATAACAAACTTCATTCGGAATGTCCATCAACTTCTCGAATGGATGAAAATGTCAACTCATAGTTCATTTGGAGTTCATTCCACCAGGTCAGGCTGTTAACCAAGCTTTCTATTTAGAGGTTCTTACAAGATTGCATAACTGTGTGCAACAAAAAAGGCCTTGTGGCAGACAGGGGACTGGTTTTGCCACCACGACAATGCACTTGCTCACGCAACCATCTCAGTGCACCAGTTTTGGGCAAAAAAAAAAAAAGCATGCCTCTCTTGCCTCACACAACTTCCTCTCCTGACCTCACTCCGTGCGACTTGTTTTTGTTTCTGCGAATGAAGAGAAACACGGAAGGACAGCGATTTGATGATGTAGAAGAGGCGAAGAAAAAAATGAGGGAGGTGCTATCAGCCATCCAAAATGATGAGTTTCAAAAATATTTCCAAGATGATGAGGGTAACGAATGTACAAGTGTGCTTTACACAATTAATGTATATATGGATTGTGGTCAGAGTTGTATGAACCCCAATAAAATGATTAAAAAAGAAAAAGAAAAAAATATTTCCAGAATGGAATTTCAGATTTGACAAATGTATTCAGTATTTTGAAGGTGATAAGGTTGTTTTGTAACAAAATTTAAATACATAACTTTGAAAACAACACCCATTTTTTTGTTTTTGTTTTTGGTACCCCCTTATATGAGCTTGGAATATCTTGTGCTACATTGTGAACTAATGTGACTACATTCATTTCCTAAGCTACTTTAAACAACACAAACTTGCTCTATCACAGCTCTAAAGGGAAATTCGTTTCAATGAGATCAAATCAACATATCAACACAGAAAGGATCTGGACAGGAGAATACATTTCTCTGCCTTTTCTAGGTTCTAGAAGTAATCCAGGAATTCATTTTACTTGAATCCACGATCAATGTGCATGGAAGCAGCAGTCAAGAAATCAAATGACATATGGCGTTGGGCATATCTGCTGCACAAGACCTCTTAAGTACTGAAGAGTAAAGATGTCACTTTGGGACCTAAATCGTGATATTTTCAACGGCCTCATATGCGTGTGAAAATTGGACACTGAAAAAAAATCAAAGAAATGATACATTTGAATTACAGTGCTGGTGAAGAATATTTAAAGCATTGTGGACTGCCAGAAGAACAGATCTGTCTTAGAAAAAGTAGAAACAAATACTCCTTAGACAGGAAGACAGTGAAACTTTGTCTCACACCGTTTGGACATATCATGAGAGGCCAGTCCCTGGAAAAGGACATCACACGTGGTAAAGTAGAAGACCAGTCAGAAGGGAAGACTTGACGGAATGGAATGACACAGTGACTGCAACATGGGCTCAAACAATGACTGTGAGGGTGGTCAGAGCTGGTACGTGGGGGGGCTATGAGTCTGAACAAACTCAGCAGTAGCTAACAACAACAGAGCTGCACCCCTTGGTTCATTCTCCATCCGCAAAGTCAACAGGGTAGCATCTTAAAATCTCTATTTGCTTCCATCTTGACTTCACCGTCTGCCTTCTGTATGAAATCGCCCTCTGTGTCTTTCTCATTTATAAGGATGCATGTGGCCACAGGTAGGGCCAATCTAGATAATCCAGCATATTCTCCTACTCTCAAAATCCTCACCATAACATCACATCAGAAAGTCCTTTCTTTATGCCATACAAGGTAACATACACAAGTACCAGGGATTAGGATTTAGGAAACTTTGGGGGGAAACTATGGGGTTCTGGTCTCTGGATCCAAAGGGAGACCTGACACAGAAGAAGAGTCATGTGAGCACTGAGACTTAGACTGGAGGGACACAGCCATAAAACACAGAGTGCTAGCAGCCAAGAGGCAAGGGCACATTCTCCTGTAGCGCCTCCATGGACCACAACCCTGCCCACACCTTGATTCTGGCCAGTGATGCTGATTTCAAACTTCTGCCATCCAGAACTGAGAGAGAATAAACGTCTGTTGTCTTAAGCCTTCAAGTTGTGGTAACAGATATAGGAAACATACAGTGGTCATCACAGAAAGTCACTTCAATCAGCTTAAAGGGGCTTCCAACTGGCTGAAGATGGAATAATTTCAACATAATTAAAAACTACAATTGATTAAAACAAAATACTTAAAAAAATACACCACAAAACATTAGCTCCTATTGCTACTTTAAAAAAATGAAAAGGTATGCCAAAATACATACTAGTCACCACCAAAAGTAGTCAGAGCACAAACCTACCTTTTAAAGTAAGAAAATACCTATTTCTTGTTGATGTGACCATTCTTTGTTCATTAATATTTTAACAGGTTAAAAAAACAAGTGGTATCCTTGAAAATCGCACGTTTTTCAACTCTAGGAGAACTAACTGATAACGGCAACCATCATTAATGGGTGCTAAAACCTTCAGGAGAAAGGTTTATGGGGAATTTTATAACCCACAGGTTCTGACTGCCATTATATAAATTCTCTAATAAACCTTACCATTTCTCGAAGGCACCTAGAATTGTGTACCACTGGGGCAACGGAGCATGCACACTACCACTCACAAAGTATTCTTGCTCCAAATACTATACCTTAACCTCATTAACTTGAACATTTCAATGTACAGAATATATAGGGGCTACAGGAAAAAACTTAATGTCATCCCAAGGAAGCAGTCAGACACATACCCATAAAGCGGTCATTCTAAATTAGGGTCAAATAATGGCTTCTCCACCAAGTCGATGGCAGGGTGGGGTTGGGGGGACTCCTGTCACTTAAATAACTTTTGAGACACTCAAGGAAACTTGGAAATAGCCTGGATATTACATATTAAGGAGTTGATGTTATTTGTTAGATGTAGTTAGGTAAGAAGGGGTCCTTTTTCTTAGATACACATATGGATATTTGTAAGGGGGATTTATATTTTCAGCATACTTGAAAAATCTTAAAGCCACCAGACTGGAAAAAGAAAGACGAAGCACCTGGCCGACCACTGATATTACCGACTCTTGCAAGAAGGCTTATGATAATTCATTATCATAGCCTCTGCTTTTACATATGTTCAGAAAGCTTTAATAATATAATACCTAAAAAACAGCATGACAAAATAAAAGTTCTCTATGGGGAAGAGGAAAGGAGGACCCCTTTCTGTTGGAATGGTATTAGGACAGGCTTCCAAGAGGCTACAGTGTTTGAGCAGCATATGAAAACGTAATTAGGATACTGCTCAACCACCATGCCTCACAGAGAAATTCCAAGCAGTGAAAGTACCAGTACCAGTGGGGCTTCAATAAGTTTGTGGGAAATGGAATTAAAACATAATCAAATTTTTCAAAATGTTCAAGCTCCTTCATGTCTTTTTAAAAAACTGTATAAATGGTTGTAGAACAAGTGACTGCTGAGGGCTTTAAATGACAGGCTAGTGAGCTGGGAAAGGTTAAATGCCTGTGGGTGAAAGAAAAGTTGGATAAAAGACCAACCAAGCAATGATGAATAGTGTGGTTGTGTATAAAAACTTAAAGGCAACCAGGCAAATGAGCTGGCTAGCATAACAATCTATTCTAGACCTGAAGTCAAAGGTATGTAAAAGGAGTGGTTCTTATTTATAAGAGCAAATCAAAAACAAAACACCAAACCCACTGCCATTAAATTGATTCCAACTCCTAGAAATCCTATAGGACAGAGTAAGAATGCCCCATAGGGTTACCGAGACTGTAATCTTTACAAAAGCAGACTGCCACAACTGTCTCCTGAGAAGCAATTAGTAGGTTTGAACCACCGACTTCGAGGTTAGCACTTGCACTACTCCTTTAAAAGAAACAAATTCTATAGTGCAAGGCCAGAATCTTTCTCTCTAGAACAAATAATCACATGTTCCTTGACACAGCAGAATCCCAATTTCAGAATTCCTTGATAAATATTAAGTCATTTTGCATATAACTCAAATTTATTTTTTAAAAGGAAGCATGTACCCAATAACTAACTACACACACATTCTGATTTTATAAAATATTGCCCTTTAAAAAAAATCTTGTCTGTGTTCCATGAATTCTTTAGAACCATACTCAATATATATATATATATATATATATATGCATGTCTCTGGTAAAAGGTCCCTAACGCGCATCATATTCTCTCATCAAATAGGTCTAAAACTCCCAGGAAAGTAAGCAGTACTGGTAAAATGTCAGCATCACCTTAATAATAGTTTACAAAAACAACAATTCAGTACTCTCTGGAATATGCCCCAACAGACTAGCTAATTAAATGGTTAATTTTTCAAACGTATATGAGACACTTCAGTTCGTTACCCCTGCTTACCTGAACCGCTAATGCTTCGTGCTGCTGACGGGCTTCTTCTCGGGCCTTCTCCAGTGCTGCAGAAAGCTCTTCTTTAGCTTTCACTCCATGACTCAGAGCAACTTCCTGTGCCTCGCTGTCCTTTGCAGCATTGGCTTTGTGAAGATCAGTAAGTTCTCTTGGGAAATCAGATTGACAATTTTTACTGAAAATAATATGCAGTCAGACTATGAATGAGGGAGGGTTTACCACATATTTAACAAGGGCCTCAATGGGGATACTCTGTTGAGCTTGCTTTGACCAGTAAGCAAATGTATTCAATGTACGTACATTAAGTTTGAAAATATTGCTAGTCATCAGTAACAAGAGTATTTCTACAACATCTACCCTAATAGTTACTTCTAAAAGGATGGCATAGTTTCCCCTTTTCTTACTTGTATGCACTATCGAGGGCAGCCTGAATACTTCGGCTCTTTTCTCCCAGTTCATCCTTGTCGACCTGAAGCCGGCCGAGATCCTTCTCCTGACGCTCTACCACGGAACTGAGCTTCTTAATGTTTTCTCTGTGTTGTTTCTCAACCTCTTCTTTGCCATCGAGTACCTATTTTTCAGAGACAGATGGAAGCATTTTTCAACAAGTAGCACCTTAGTATACTTGATATATCCTCCTCCTTCCAAATGAAGGAAGATTTTAAACATCTGTATATTTGTTTGAAAACTTCACATATGATAGTGCCCCATTAAATCATTCTAAGTGCTCTGAAAACCATGTCCAATTGTTCACATAAGTAATACCAAAAGATACATGGAATGGTTAGCAGCTATTCACCTGTTTTAAATGTTGCAACTCCTCTTCAAACTCTTTAACTTTTTTGTTGAGCTTTACAGTAACATTTTCATTTTCTTTCTCTTTAGCTCTTAATTTCTTAATGATGTTAGAGTTATGCAACTGCTGCTTTGAAAGTTTTTCTCCTGGTAATGGTAATAAATAATAAATAAATAAAGAGGGAAGATTTTATTCATATTGATTCTTTAAGATTCTGAATGTTTTATCATACCAATGACATAAAATTGTAAAATTAAAAATAATAATAACTTTGAACAGGCATATAAGACCTGATTAATGAATTATTAGGTGCAAGATCTTGGAGGAACAAGTATTTACAAAGTTTAAGGAATTACTCTGACATATTACTTATTAATCTCACAGAAAAATTTGTCACAAAAGAACAATGTGGCAACCACGTTCTTAATCAAGCTTTGGATTTTGACATCACCAATTGGGTAACTGCTACTGAAGTGAGGGAGTAGTAGGTGCACATGCTATTTCGATGAGAATATTTTATTGGAATTTAATCACAAGGAAACCAACTAATTCCCCAGTGTGAGGCATTCTATGGGAAAACTGGCCTGGATCTACAAAGCATTCAAAGTCATGACAAAAGGACTACCCTAGATTAGTAAAAGTCTTAAAGGGATCTAATAGTCAAATGCACCACACCCACTTTTATTAGGTCCTGCATAAAGTGGGATGGGACAGGTGGTCTTACTTAGACATAATGGGATAATCTGAGGACAACTGATGAGCGCCACGCTGCATTAGATATTTTCTTAGGTTTAATTATGAAATGCCTAAGAAAAAGAGTGTACTTGACTTTGGAAGCTGCATACTAGTTAGAGGTAGAATGGCATGCTATCTCTAACTTGCTTTCAACTGGTAGGGCAAAAGGTTAGTAGATGAATATGTACAATAAATAAAAGGGGTAGCACATTGTTTCAGTTGATGAACTTAGGTAATGAAGTAATCAACATTCACAGTAGTGCTTTCCATTTTCTACAAATTTGAAAATTTTTCTAAATTAAAAAAAAATTAAAATCTAAGTATATCTGGGGACATGGAGACAATATATAAATTCCACCTGAAATCATTCCATTTTCTTTATAGAAAGGTTCACTAAGCAGGAAAACTTCCACGCACCCTGACTGAATCACTGAATTCTATAATACAGATAGCTCAGGCTCACAGCTTATTTGAGTTTCAATGAACCACATTTATAACCATCTTATTATTAGTAAGAATTACTACACATGTGTACTGTATACAGTGAACCCTCGCCACTTCGCGCTTCGACTTCCGCGGCTTCACTCTATCGCGGTTTTTGCGTAGCTGTCATTACTGCCACTGATTGGCTCATACTGTACACGCTTGATGCCATACATTATATAATAAATAATAAATGATAATTGTAACGTCCAAAATGTTTTACTGTATTTTCCCTTTTTCGTTTAATAAATTGGGTAATACGAGTGTAATGGTGACTAAAGGGTGTTTTTCCATGTCCTCTATGCTCTAACTACGAAAATATTTGATTTACAAATAAGGAATCCTACTTCGCGGAAATTCATTTATCACGGTAGGGTCTAGAACCGATTAACCGCGATAAACGAGGGTTCACTGTAGTTTACTGATGTCGTCCTTCTCACATGTTCACTCACAACTGCTCAAGGTTATAATTTACTGTTCCAAACCATGCCATACAGCAGACTGCAGCCTGGTCAACAATGAAGTGGGAATAAGCACTGGGAATCATAGAGGACAGAGAGCTGGGCAGCCTTCCACTCTATTGACATCGGACGATGGAACCGTGCCTCCCCTGGACAGCCTTTACTACCCCAACATCACTGTTCTCACGCCGCACAGCAGGCACCTGGCATGATCTTATCCATTGTTTTCTACCATGGAAAGCATCCCTTGTTAATCTGACGCCATGCTGTTTAAGTTCCTCACAATGCATGCCTGCGTTGCTTGTACTCCCTTTAATATCCCTAGAAAAGGATGTTGTGACACTGTGCGTTCACAGACACTGACAAAACGAAGCTGCCAATTTACTCGAGACAACAGCTCCAAGGCCTGGTTGATGATTATGCACTTCAAAGATGGTTTCTTAAATGGTCTCATAATATAAGATTATGCCTACTGCCCTGAAAAGACCCTTCTTTTCAAGGTACTGTTGCTACGTGATAATGCCCCAGGATTTACTCCCACATAGATGATCTAAATCAGTGTTTCCCAAGGTGGGTGACATCACCCCTGCTGGGCACTGAAATGATGGGGGGGGTGGCTGTGAAAGAAAATACCTACACTTTATCCAGATTATGACTTTAGTACAAAAGTTTTTAATGGCAAGGAGCGCAGAGTAATGTTTCTGAAAAGAGAGTGACAAGCCAAATACATTTGGTCACCTAAGATCTACATCAAAGTGTGAATGTGCTTATAGCTGCCTCCCAAATTCACAGCTGCAATTCAACCTATGGAGCAAGGTATAAGCACCTATGGAGCAAGGTAAAAGCAAAGCGCTCTACCTAGAGACAAACATCTGTTCAGGCAGTAGTTGCAACAGATGGAGGTACAGTGGCATTCTACAATTTCAGGAGAAATTATAATATTGTTAGGTATACCTAAAGATAATTGTATCTTCCTAGGAGGAAGTTATAGGAAAATGGATGCAGAGGTTATGAAAAAAAATCTGTTACATGAACATGCTCTAGGCATTTGATCAGAATAATCTGATAAAAGAGATGTGAGGGAATCATCCCCAGGGCAAGACTACCATGTGAACTAGCTAACAGACCAGGAACAAGCAAGCTGACAGAGCAGGACGCAGAACTGTCAGGAGGGAAGAAGTGCTGCCGAACCAAGAACGAGAACAAGAAGGAGAGAAGGGCCTACACATCGTCCTGTGAGAGAAGTAGTTGGACCATTTCTAAACTAAGGCAGGGTTTCATTTGCTTGAGACCACAGATCCCCACAGACTGCTTTGCTGAAGTCCATACAGGTTTGGGAAAGAGTGAGACTTTACAATGAAATGTATGAAGAAAAACAGGAAAAGGACCATACACAGAAAAGTCTTCCTTAGTTTTGGACTAGAAATACCATCTCCATTCTCTTGGATAATGCAGATGATCTAGAACTATCCACAAGTGGAAATATTGCAAGTGACAAAATGTCTAGGTTGACCAACTCTTTTTCACTGTCAGAGTAAATGTTCATAATTATGTTTTGTAAATGTTATGTACTAAAACATATCTTAGTTTTGATGTAATATTTCCAACCCCCAAAGACAATACAAAATGTTAGATTTATAAGCATACTGATAATAAAAGGGAATTATATTGAAAACTGAAAATTAGATTTGTCAGAACAGAACCCCAGTGTAAGTTGGTGACTATCTGTACTGACACTTGATGACAAGATTTTTAATCATTGAAAACATGCACTTAGATATCCCCTCATCTCTAGTGTTATAATGCTGCTGCTGTTGTTGTTGGGTGCCATCGAGTCAGTTCCAACCTATACAGCACAACAGAGCCAAACACTGCCCCGTCTGAGCCAGGCTCGTAACTGAGACCACGCTTGAGGCCTGGCTTGGAGCCCCGGGCTCCACATCTTCTTGAGGGCCTTCTTCTGTTTCACTGTCCCTCTACCAGACAAATTGGTCTCTCCTGACATGTCCACAATATGTCAGAAAAAGTCTCCCCATCCTTACCCCTAAGGAGCACGCTGGCTGTACTTCTTCTAAGACAGCTCAGTTCATCCTTTTAGCAGTCCTTGGTACTTCTAATCTTCTTCTTCGCCAGCACCATTCACATGCACCAACGGCTCTTCAGTCTTCTTTAGTCCATGTCCAACTTTCACACGCATAAGGCGACTGAAAACATCATGGCTTGGGTCAAGGCCACCTTAGTCCACAAGGTAACAGCCTTGCTTTTCAATACTCTAAAGAAGTCAGGGGCAGCAGATAACCCAATGCAACTTGTCTTTTGAGCTCTTGATTGTTACTCTCATGAGCATTGATTGTGGATCCAAGCAAGGCAAAGTCCTTGACAACTTCAAACTTTTCTCCATTTTTCATTATGTTACCTACTGGCCCAGTTGTGAGGATTTGGGTTTTCTTTACATTGAGTTATAATCCATCCTGAAGGCTGCAATCCTTGATAATCATCAGCAAGAGCTTCACGTCCTCCTCACTTTCAGCAAACAATATTGTGTCATCTTCACATCAAAGGTCGTTAATAAGCCTTCCTCCAATGCGGATGCCTCATTTCCCTTCAATATTAGGCAGCTATTCAATTCAGATATCTTAAGATGATAATGCTGACCTGTTTCTTTTCTTCTGCTTTAGTTCTTAGCTTATGTTTTGTAATTATCTGAGTATATTTCTACTCACTGTCATCAAGTTGATTCCAATTCATAGTGACTTGTAGGACAGGGCAGAGCTGCATGTAGGTTTTGAGACTAAACCGTAACAGGAGTGGAAAGGATCATCATCTTTCTTTCCTGGAGCAGTTCGGGTTAGCAGCACAATACACAACCACCAGGATCCTTAAATATGTTCTAGAGAAAGGGTGGGGTGGTGGAACTCTCACTCTGGAGCTACGGAGGCTGGATAAACTCTCCACAATGATTGCTCTGAGACAATCTTTAAAGGGTTTTATCTGTTTTACTTTGTTATTCTTATTTAATTTTTTCATGTTTTTGGTTTTATTTTTAAATGTTTTTCTGTATATGAAATCTAGGATAAGTAAATTTATAGAGAAAGCAACTGGACTAGTGTTTCCTTGTGGGTATGGCAGGGGAGGCTGAAGGGAAATGGGGAACTAATAACAAATATAAGAATAAAGAAAAGTTCTAAAGCTGATTGTGATGAAGACTGTATAACTTTTCTTGATATGAATTGTACCGAATTGTATGATATGTGAGTTATATGCCAATAAAATTGTTTGGGGAAAAGAAAAAAAAAGGAGATTTACAGTCTTGAACCCACAAGGGCAGTGGGTCCTGGACCCACAAGGGCAGCATTACCCTGTCCTGTAGGATCACTATGAGTCATAGTCAACTCAATGACAGAGTGTGAGTTTTTCTGAGTAAAGAATGTCTTCTTGGGCATTGTGCTCTTTTAAGATTTAACTGGATCAAACTAACGGCAACAATTACCAAGATTAGATAGGAACATTAGTAGACAATAAGTGGAACAGGGGAGGAAAACAATATCTAAAAAGGGGCATGAAAATTATTGTACAACTTGAATGACTATTTAAATATTATCAGTAATATATACTACATACAATTAATCAACCTCATTTAATTATTTATGTTTATACTCTCAAAATCACAAAAATAAATTATTCTTTAAAAAATAATTTCCTGGGCCGGCCCCAGTGCCAACTACATGGAACCCACCCCAGAAGAATGTACTTGAGAGGAGTGCACTGAAGCTACAGCTCAGGGAGAGGGGCACGTCTGATCAGAGCACACAGGGGCAAAGGAAGAGGGAAGGGGAAAGTGTGGAACACATCCTGGCCCACCAAGTCCTGTGGACGATATTCCTGCCCCACCAGCCAATGCACAGAGGGGGCCATAGGGCTGGCCTCATCACCAGACATGACTTCCCTCACTGACCATAGCGCTTCGGGGAGCACTGGAGACACAGTGCAGGAAGTGTGTCTGACCTGCCCCACCACACGGGGGGAAGCACTTAGGGCGTGCCACAGAGCAGCATGGGGAAGAAAAGCAGTATAGCTCCGTGAGAACACACAGCTTTCCTCTAGTTCCTAATGCTTCCTCCCTGCCCTGAATGTCATGACCCCAGTCCTACCTTACAGATCTGGTAGACCAGAGCATGTGCATGGGTACAGATAAGAGTAAAACACAGGGAATCCAGGACAGATAAACCCCTCAGGACCAATAATGAGAGTAGCCATACCAGGAGGGGAAGGGGAAGGTGGGGGGAGAAAGGGGAAACCCATCACAATGATATACATATAACCCCCTCCTGGGGGGATGGACAACAGAAAAGAGGGTGAAGGGAGACAATGGTCGGAGTAAGACATGAAGAAAATAAAAATTATAAATTATCAAGGGTTCATGAGGGAGGTGGGGTGGGGGAGGGGGAAATGAGTTGATACCAAGGGCTCAAGTAGAAAGAAAATGTTTTGAAAATGATGTTGGCAACAGATGTACAAATGTGCTTGGCACAATGGATGGATGTATGGATTGTGATAAGAGCTGTAAGAACCCCTAACAAAATTATTTAGAAAATTAATTTAAATACATAGCTTTGAAAAAAAAATGATTTCCTAAAAATAGGACGTTTGTGTATGCTTTAAAAAAACTTGTAAAAAACAGGAAGTATGTCACATCTATCATTTATGTCAAACCCAACATCTGGCATACTAGTTACTAGTAAATATTTAATAAATACATGTGGAGCAAAGAAGGAGCTGATTCCAGTTATTTTCAAGCTTTATACTTATTCTGTAAATTCAGTTAAGTTCAATGATTTAAGCATAGCAATGTTCTGCCTACAAATTTACAATACTGACATTTTAAGAAGTATCCAAACTTAAGAAAATAGTAAAAATAATTATGACAGAGCCATAAAGTGAACTTTATATAGTCATTAATAATGGTAAACAAAGCATTTAATGACATAGTACATGTAAAAAAAAAAGAGGGTTGCAAATTATATATATGAGATTTATCATTAAAAAAGCTTTGAGCTGATGGTGCCCGGCTATCAAAAAGTATAGCATCTGGG